AGAGGCTATTTTAATCTTTAGTGCATGGAAAACTGAATGAAATTTTACAATTTTGGCAATAGTGTTTTCAGTATCAGGTTGCTGTTAAACTTTGAGAGAGAAGTAATTCTGGTGCCTTAAATGCATAAGCAGAACTTTAAAAAGCCAGACCGTTCCAAAGGGGTTGTCCTCTTTTCAATGGAAGTTCCTTTAAATCAAGTATCAATTGGGTTACTTAGCACAAATTTCCTTCCCCTTTGAAATTTATTGCACTTAACACATTTAAATAGAGATCTCCAACTGTTTCAAATGAAGTTTATAGGAAAAAAAACCACGCAGTGAGAAATTAAATAGCAACCTGAATTTTTCCTGTTGGTGGAGGAATGTAAGTTAAGTTCCATTGCTTTTCAAAACTGCATAAAAACTAGGATTTGAACTGTGGCTGCGTGCTCTGTGAGAGCAGACCACGCAAAAGGCACAAAATAATTCTGCCACGGTGCAGAGCCCCGCAATAATCGGAGAGAACGGCCATCGTGATGAGCGAGCAGCCGTTACCAAATCACATTACCCGTGCAGCAGACTGCGGGGTGGGCAAAAGCCTCTCGGCGAAGGCGTTCCCTGCCCACGCGACAGAGCTGGCGGCCGACGCTTCCCCTCCCCAACGGCTGTGGCTTTCCCTGCAGGAAGGTGCGCAGGGTGACGCAGCCTCGCCCTGTTCGGGAGGAATAACCCGTGCCTGTATAATACATTTTCACACCCAAAAAAATACATCTGTTCTGAAGGGGGTTTGAAACCATAGAGCTGTTTTGACAACAAAACTCAAATCACGCTCCCGAGCTGACAGCTGTACCGTTAATCCAGCTGATGATACTTTTAACTTGCTTTTTTCCCCTGCAAGGCAATATTACGCTTTCTTGTTGAACCCCCCTCTGCAGCCAGACTCTTACCCGAAAATACCTGCTTCGAATGAATTACGCCGCTTTGCGTAGCAATTCCAGGCTGTTCAGAAATCCGCTCATTTAGCAGGGAAGCTGCAGGCTGAGGGTTGAAAGGACCCTGTTAAATGGGAATGTCCCAAGTATTTTTATGTGGTCTTTTAAGTTCATCCGTGAATGGGGGGAATAAGAAATACCTGCATTGGTCAAACAGATCTTTGCCACGTCTAACTTCACTCTGACGCTTTTTATTTATAGAAAGGCTGCTTTCTGTTGGTGTTGGTACCTGTGGATGGAGGACTCCCTTCCAGTTACTTGTAGCTTGAGTTCTGCTAACATGAGGTTGCTAACTGGTGATGACTACTTCGGGGGAAGGTTAATCGGGGGTTTTGTTACGTTTTTCTTTAGGAGCAACTCAAATGCCAGTTCCTCTGCAGCCGAGTCTGGTGGAAAGCCACCTTTGCTAGTGCCGTGGCTGAAAAGAAGCATCAGAAATAGGGGCAGAAACATTTAATTTTCTGGTCGGATCCATCACTTAGGGATCTGCCCCGGTGCTGCCACATTCATGGGGTTTCTGTGAGCAGCTACCTGCTGCCCTGCATCGGGACGCCAGGTGCCCGTTCGTTTTCCTACAGCCAGGCCTGTCCAGCCTCCCCTTGAGGAGCCACCACCTCCCGGGAGGGCCGGACTCTGCCCGGTGGCTGGGGGCTGACCCCCTCCTGGGTGGAGCAAGGCACAGCTCAGCCAGGTCCCTGTCTGCATCAGCTCCTGACTATTGACACGTTTGCACTTTGAGCTGGTGGCTGATCATGTCGAGTGCTGTTAGAAAACGAGAAACCTGAGCGTTGTTTTCCCGTTACTCAAGGGGAGAGCACGCCTCAGAACCGACCGGCAAGGTGAAAACGGTGGGACCGGGGACACCGGGAAGGTGGGGGTGAGTTCCCCGACTCATTTTGCTGGCAGAAATGTCATCACCATTGCAGATACAAAGCATATTTGCCACGTTAACATTTGAAAATAATGTTTCTGGATAAAATTAACTGCCTAATGTTATGACTTCCACTAAATATGTGAATTTGCTGCTTCTAAGAGGCAATGTGAAAGAGGAAGTATTACTTTTGTGTACAAAGTTATTTATTTATTAGAAAACTTGGTACAATGTTGTACATTGAAAAACATGTAAGATATTGAAGTGTCTAACAAACGGCATTGAAGTGTCTTTAATAAAGGTTCATTTTTAATATTACAGCTGTTTTGTTGAGAGTGAGCTTTTGGGAGTTTCAGTTGAAAACTAAATAAAATTCTAATCCATTGCTATATTCTTTTTCTGTCTTTCTCCGTGAAAATGCAGCCTAACTGCCAAAACACCCTCTCCTGGAATTAGACCTGCAACTTTAACGTTGGATACTGCAGGTCAGATCAGCGTGAGACTCTGGCAGCCTGACTGGTGGATGGGGTGGAATCTGGGGGCCGCATGGAAAGAGACAATGAACAACTCATAAGAAACACATCTCTAATGCGTCAGCTTGCTTAAGTATCTGGCAAACGCCCTTACCTTAAGGGCTGGGGGCGTGCGGAAGGACGTACGGAAAACGGGGCCAGGGCAGCCGGAGGCTCGGCTGCAGTTGTGAACACCTCTGGCTTTCTCAAACCAAACCCCACCCGGTGTGGAAATTCCAGGGGCAGCTTTGGAGATAAGCTTGAATTCTTGCTTTTACTAAAAAAAAAAATAATAAATTTCAATTCAGTTTCTGTATATTTAAAAAAAAAATTGAAAAAGAAGTCTTTCTTCCTCCTGTATATTTTAAAAAAAAAAATTGAAAAAGAAGTCTTTCTTCCTCCAAATTATAACTTCAGATATAAAGCAGATTTTCTGAGACTACTCTGATAAATCCCTTAACACACACACACATATAAGAATTAAAATACTGTAAAATGGTAAAAAAAAAAAGAGCCTTTAAGAGGCCAGTGCCTGGTCTAAGATTCAAGTTTTGTTATTCCACGTTATCCCAGTAATGGAATAAAATTAATTTTTCAAGTTTCGGTAAACTTTAAATAAAAAAATGTCACTAAAACTCAAGGCAAAGAGAAAAACAAACACTTTTTTTAGGTCTTTCCCCCCATAGTCCCATAACTAAAAGAAGTGTCATTTTGCAGCAGGATTAGACAAATCAGGGTGTGCAGGGTTGCCCAGCAGGGCTGTCACTTGCCTGGTGCTGTTGCAGGGTGCCTGTGTCCTTCCCGCAGCAGTCAGGGGTGCGGAGCCAGTCCATCAGCACGTGGGGTCCCCTCACACCCATTTTTAAATAAAAGCAGCGATGACAAAAACTGATAATGCAAATATTAAGTTAAAAAAACCCACCAAAAATGCAGCATTTGGCCCCAAAGACTATGAGGCCTGATTAGCGTCAGCTCAAGTCATTAAATGCACGCGCTGCAGTGCTAACCCTCTCATCGTTCTTGAAGAACTTTAACAGAAAATAAAAGTTAGCTTTTAAAACGGAGTAATTAATCTCCCCCTCCCTCCCATGCCCTCTGCTGTATGTAAACATAGAAGAGACACCCTGAAAAGTGGTGGGAAGCACTGCTACACCGTGCCATGGGAACCGGCAGCATTAACCAGCCAACACGGGACTTGGCTGAAATTCCCCATTTTAATTGAAGATTATTTTTAAGAATTACAGCCTTTGTTCTGTGTGTTTTAGTTATTTGCCAATTATTTTCTAAGTTTTTGGCCTCAAAAAAACCCATCTCATTATTATGTCATGGTATGACAGCGTAATAAAACATCCAGCCTTAGTAAGCCTGGCCCATGTTTGCGCCTGAGCAGCCGCCTGTTCTGCGGGCAGGGGCTCAGGCTTTGCTCCTGCCC